CGTCCCGCCCCTGCGGGCGCCGTTGGGCCCGCGGGAGCCGCGTCCGCCTCTGGGACTTGGCGGGAGGAGGCGGCCGGGCCCGGGGCTCCGCCGAGCCGCGGTTCCCCCTGCGCTGCTCTTTGCGCTTCCCCTGGGCTGCCCTTCGCCTGGTGCGCTGAGGGGAGGGCAGCGGTAAATGGCGAGAGGCCGCTTGTGCCGGTGCATGGAGCCTCCCCGGAGCTGCCCTGCCGTGCTGGGCTTTAACCGTCCCTAACGGCTTCCCAGAGCCGGCGTGTCCCCGGGCCCCGGTGGGGGGTGTGGGGCAGCGCGCCTTGGTTCCCTCTGCAGAGGGCTTTGGGTCCAGGATCGTGATCCTGGCTTTGTGCCTCATTCTTTACAAACTTTCAGTAATAGCGCAACCGTCCGAGTGAGGTGTGAGCTGCTGAAGGTAGTGCGGCTCGTGCGGGAGAGGACAGATACCTGCAGCAAGAGAAACAACGTTCCTGTGCCGGGCCATCACGGCAGGACGAGCTTCAGGGTAACGCAGGACCCCCCCGCGCCGCGTGGGGTGCGCCTCCGTGGAACAAAGCTGTGTGGAAAAAGTTCCCACGTGGCTTCCTTAGGTTATTTTTATTTGGAGCTAACGCTATCAAAATCGAATTTTAATGTACGATAACGTACCGATTTCAGGAATAGAGAGGAATGCAGGGAAGGAAAACACCCAGATTTGCTGTGGCCTTCGGTTGATGAGTTAAATGTCAGATACCAGGAGATAATAGTTTGAAGTTACATGTGCGTTCTCCTACAGAGAGATAAATGAGAATCCTCTGAAAATTCAGATGTTTTTCTCTGTTAGATTCTGAGGAATGGTTTGTTTTATGGGAATGATTTGGGGAATATTGAACAGAAATTTAGAGCCCACTTCAGGAAAAAAATTACACCAAAGTCTGGTTTTATTGTTTACACTGAATGTAAACATATGTTGTTTTTTTGTTGTCTCATGTTTTTATCACCTTATCTGTAGCAAAGAGAGATGTTAGTAGTATTAAAGAAAAATGATGCGTGTTATTTTAGTTATAGGGCTTAAATGGCTAGTCAGATATTCAAGTTCAGACCAAAGCTATTTCATTCTGTTCTGCTGCTGCTGCTGTAATTTTTATTTATTGTGCTAATGCATAAAGTATTCCTTCTTCAGCACAAGCTTATACCTTCAGAGGTAATCATCTGCCTTTGAAGGGGTTTATTTATCCCATGTTTTAACATGTCTCTTCAGGTTTTGGTTTTTTTTTTTCTGCCTTCTCCTTTCCCCTTCCCTGTAGGCAATTTGAGTTAGCACTTCAAATATAAGAAGGTGAAATTTGGTAAACAGAATGACTAATAGACTTCAGTTTTAGTGAATCTTTAGAAATAAAAATCTTTTAGTTCGTAATATCCATCAAGCTGTTATTTTTGTTTAGTGAAGGTGAGCATTTGCTGAAAAATTGAAGGGCTGAGTATGGCACAGATATCCTTGTGCTTGCAATCTACGTAAAGCTTGGCAGTACTCCCTGGTGACCTAACCACATGGTGGCAATTTTGAACTATTGTTTGTGCTGTTTCAGAGGAACTTAAAATGATTTAAACATTTTCTGGTGATTACTTTTTCCGTATAGAAATTCTGTACTGTTGATGAGGATATTTAATAACCAGTTGTGGTAGAGTGTTCAATATCTGCAATGTTAGGGAAGGCATTTGTGAAACAAAGTCTCACAGATACCTATGGCCAAAGCTACCTCTGCTACAAGTCACACAACCGCCATTTGCAGTGAAATGCTGAGTCTTTCCATAGTGGCTGTTAATCAGAATAGCCAGATCTGCTGTACTGCTTTTTAAGTTCTGCAAAACTACTGTTGCAACAGGGCAACTACAAATTTTACTTACCCAGTTGAAAGCAGTGTGTAAACACCTTTCACAGTCACCAGTGGCAGGTAGATAACTTCTCTTGGCAAATGGGAAGAAAAGGAACTGAAGCCAGTTGTCAGATTTTCAGAATTACTTTGAAATAACAAGAAAACCAAAAAACCCTTCTTATACTAATGAAGATTACTTTCTACTTGTGAAATAACTGCTTTGAGGGTTGCTTTTTTTCTCCCTGTTACCCCCACAAGTCTCTACGTAATAAGTTCATATGCTGCTGTTCTGTTGAAAGCTTGTCTGAACTGCAACATCACAGAAATAAAAGGCTGATCCCATTCGCTGGAGCTGTGTTGTTGGTAGTAAATCTGAAAAAAATCATGTCCTTCACATTTTGTTGCTGTTTAGGAGAGTAAGCACTGATAGGCTTTGCTGTATTTTTTGTGGATGGAGGGGGTGGGTACAATCTCCACATTAAGCCTCATGTTTCACAGTATGCTACATACAAACAGGGCTCTCAGCTGGGTCTTCTGAGGTGCTTAGTTGTTAGTTTTTTTGTTTTAAGCTATGTCATGTTGCCTCTTCCTTCCAAAATTCAGGGGAAGTCTTTCAGGGCTCACTGGTAGTGGTGGTAATTAAAGGTGATAATGAGAGCTGGAAAGTTCAAGTTGTGCTGCTTTTTTTTTTTTTTTTCCTGGAGATACACTGTATGTTTTTAACTGTATTAAAACAAACAAACCTTGGATTAAAAAAGCCCACCACACATGAAGCCTGGCATTTATAAAGATTATTACAGAAGCCACAGCTGCTGACTGATACAAATTAAATATTGCATCACGTGTAGTTTTAAAAGTGTTAGTGTCTGGATGCTCCCTATAGTACAGATGATAATGAGGACTTAATTGAGGTGTTTTTATCTTCATCCAGTACAAGTTTTCTTATTCATATGCAATCATGTTGCAGTTTTATCATGTTTCATGTAATAATGTAGTGAACTGTGGTTTTTCAGTTTGTAAACAACGGACAATTACCACTTGGTTGGAGAATAAAGGACCCAAGACAACTGAGTCCAAAAGGTAAACTGTACAGCATACCTATTCCAAAGTTGTGTTCTCTGAGTGGGCCTGTGGGGATCTCCCAGTGCAGGTTGCCAGTACAGCTAGCTACTGCAAAAACAGCAGCCCTGTTTCTGCTGCTTTCCTTACCGTGGCACATCCTCCTGAGTGTAACGAGCTCACAGAGTTTCAGTATAAAAAGCTAACTAATCCCCCACCCCTCCCCTTTAAGCCCCCCTAAACCAAACTTTTCTGCTGACTTAGCTTCCTGAAGCACCTCACAGTTTAGGTGAATAAACACTGCTGCTCCTGTAAAGAAAAAGACGGGAACCCGCAGCAGAGGGAGGCAGAGTGGGACTGCTGCTTCCAGTGGCAGCCAACCGCTAGGCTGAGTTGGCAGTAGTATCAGACTATGTCCTCAGTCAACAGCTCTGCTTTTATTTTTGTTTAACATAGGGCAATAACAGTTACAGATTTTGGCTGATGGTTCTGCATTCAACTCACAGTTCTGTTGTTAATTTACAGACAAGTCTGTTTTGGTTCATCTCATTGGACTGTGATTGGAGTATAAGCACATGGAACTTGGTTTCATTTGCACCAGAATTTACAGGTGCTCAAGTGTGCGTTCAGGTTACTTTGGGAAAGGTGGTATAAAAGTTTTGGTGCTGAATGGTGCCAGGTAGAACTTGATATTTTCTGCTGATGTAGTCTGTCAGGAGCAATGTTTGCAAGGCAGCATTAAAATTAAACTCCTAAGAGTTTAACTATCTGGTGCAGAGGAATATCCAATTATTATTCTTCTAGAATTGCAGTTGTAAATGTGCTGGTTTATTTTTCATTGATGTTTGTTAATGAATAGAAATTGAAATCCATAGTAGTGTTAAAATAGGTCGGAAAAATTGTGATAATGATTAATACAGAAGTTCACAGGGCTCAATTGCAGGCTTACAGGTTGCAGTAAAGCAAAGATGTTAAGAGGATGCTTAAGGAGGGAAGGATTTTTTTAAGAGTATTTAGAGTATTGCTTTTCTATGCCCTCCTCCAGCCTTGCTGACAGATTACAACCTAGTTGGTTGTGTAAACACTTCATGTGCCTTTCTAGTGCAGTTAACATCACCATTTTAATTTATTTCAATTTGGACACTGTGTTAGATTTGATTTCTCATCTTAAGTTGACAGCAGATGTTGTCAGTACCTTTAAATGGTCATTTATTGAGGTGGCAGCAGTAACATTTTCAGTGCCCCCTAAAATCTTTTTGTTTTCAAATAATCTGGGTGAAGTTCTAAGCTGTCATCTGTTGCTCTAAGCCTCTTTTTTTTTTTTTTTGTTCTGTAGTGGTAAAGGTGTGAATGCTATCTCTTTATTCAGTGCTGCTTTAGAAGGCCATCTGTGGTCATTCATGGAGAGAATGAATGACTTCAGAAATATATTAAGATGTTGAGTAGCTGAATTTAGGATTTTGTGATAATTGCATATTTTTCTATTTAATGTAAGTGGGAAACTGGGCGATGGTCAGACAGAGTTCAGTGTGCTTAGTTTGCGTTGGTTACATACAGTGTTGTAACAACACGTTCAGGAAGAGATATTGTTCCTGAGTGATGCATTTACCTAGACCAGTCAGGCTTTTTAAATATTCATATGGCATCTAAGTATTTTTCTTTATCAATACACTGACACAAAAATTAGTACCTGTGTGAAATGACTTTCCAATGTCTTCTTGAAAAGTTTAATCTGCTCGTACAAAACTCACTTCAATTTCCCATGTAACCATTAGGACACATTTCTTTCTGTTCTTTGTGTAAGACAGCACAGGAAAAATTAGGTTATTTTTCTCTTCAAAAATAGTAATTGATTTGTCTTTTAATTTTTATTATCAGTTCTATTTTATGATTTTGTATTGGAATTTTTTTTTTGAAGAGTCACGGGTTGCTTATAAAAGTAACGAAGTAATAGAATGTTTTTTGAGACTACTGTGTCCTGCTCTAAGAGATGAATTTGTAGCTCTGAGGGAATGGCTGCAAAACCACTGATAATGAAAGTTAAGGAAGACTTTATCACGACTTCTAATTTTTTTCATCTGGTGAAAATAACAGAATAATAGCTTAATACTGTTTAGATTTCAAAATAAGGATAATGAATCACTGGAATAGATTCCTAAGGTAAGCAACTGATTCATCCTTTGGAGCCTTTAAATGGAAATAGGTTGTTACTGAGCTACTTGTTGATCCTGGTAGTGCTCACATACAGAGTATAATGGGTAAAATTCTGTAGTTTCTATTGTATGTTTATAATAATGCCTTTAAAAATATATAAAAATATATATAAAGAATTTAATTTGTAGATAAGACATTAAATTCCCTTACTTCTCTCTCACAGCTTACACAGCAAAATTAATAACAATACTGAAGCAAATCCCAAGATGACTTCCATTAAAAAAGAGAACTTTTGTGAGCATGATGTGAAAAAGCTAGAAAATATTTGTCAGCAAAATTATCCAAAAGCATCTGTGGAAGCTGGTGCAAAGCATGTAAATTTGCCTCAGACAGGCAGCATGTATAGCTGGGAGGCTGAGGACAAAGAGTCAGTCTTAGACACAGAGTCTGTGAAGGGGACACAGCCCGGAGACCTCTTTAAAAACGCCAACATTGATCAGATGCACAAAACCAGCAAGCAGGCTCAGAGAGGCTGCGAAGAAGGCAGTGACAATTGGACTCAGAGGAAGTTATCATCGGGCCGGTCTCCAAAAATGGGAAATACAAAACTTTCTTCAAAAGGCACCGAGACAGATGGACAAGTGGCTTCATGCAATTCACAGAAGCTGAAGAGTTGCAATACTGTCTGTTTAACGGGTGAACAAGAAGAAGGAGATGTAGTTCCAGAAAGTCCACTCTCAGATGCTGGCTGTGATGCTTGTGTATCTGATCTTGGAGGTCCTGGGAAATGTCAGAGCAGTTCCGGGGATTCACCTGCTTTTGAGAAAGAAAGTGAACCAGAGTCACCGATGGATGTAGATAATTCTAAAACCAGCTGTCACGGATCAGAGGCTGATGAAGAAACGAGTCCATTTCTTGATGAGCGAGAGGAAATTAATATGTCAAAATCCATAAACAAATCTTTTAGAATGCAATATGGGGATGCTGAACTGGAGTCAAGAAAGTCACATTTTTCTGCCAAGGGCTGTGAAAGCTTTGAGGAAATAGATAATTCTGTTAAAGAGGATGGTCTGCATGCAAAGTCACCTGGGATGTCTCCTGCTCCATCATCAGAATGCAAAGGTGCAAAACAGGGTGTGAAGAGAGACTCCAAAATCACCTCTCACTTCATGAGGATACCAAAAGTTGAGGAGAAAAGGTACCGTTCTGCCTGCCTCCTGATCTCTTTTCATGCTCGAAAAATCTCTTTTTGGTGATAGCACTTTGGAGGCTGGATTGTAGAAAGAGTTTTGCAAAATGTATGATAAGACACAAAGACAACTTTGATGTAAGCTTGAAGTAACTTATTTTCACTGGGACTACTTGTGGGTTTTTTTTTTTAAAGGTTATGTTTGTCCAGTGTAATTTTTTAAGTCGTTGGAGATCTTTTAAAATTGGGAATTAAAGACACTATAGGAAGCTGATTTTATTTCTCAGAGGTGACTTAAGACCATGGGATTTCTAATGTTTGAAAATGAATAGTACTGCAGGACAGCTTTATGGAAGTGTAGCTCTAGCATTATTTCATTCCGAATACTTGAAGAAACTGATGTTTTCTTGGGTTTTTTGGTTTTATCTGTCAGAAATACTGATGTCATGTGTTGAAGCCTCAGTGCTACTGGTGCTTTGATTGAAATAGGCATGGAAAATTATGCTTTTGAAAGCAGTTGTAGAGATCTGTGTGAGTGATTTTTTTGTTTTTTTTGGCTTAATTGGGGAGAGAGAAGGACTGGTGATTACACACTACAGCAATGGGAATAGAAGCCCTGAGCATGACCCAGGACTCTGCCTGCCTGGTGTTCTGTGGGGGGAAAAAGGATAATCTCTGCTCTGAAGAGCTGAGATTTCAGTGGGAGCTGAGAAAGTAAACAAACGGTGAAGGAGTAAGCAGAAACAAGAGGACTGTGTGTGTTGGTGTAACAAGCAGTTATTTGAGTAGAATCAAGCCCTTAAAGTAGGACAAGGAAGTAGTTTTGCACATCTTTACTGGGAAGTCCTTTCTGGATGTGAGGAGCAGCACAAAGCGTGCTTTTGAAGGAAATTAAGAGGATGCCAGAAGGTGGCTAGCTGGTGGTGGGAGCTTACATTTGAAAATCTGAAGAGATGAGTAGGCTGAGGGTGAATTTGGAAAACAAAGAAAGGAGTTCTTTGGGAAAATGGATGGATGAAGAATTCTCTAAAGAAGTATGGGAAAGGTTCATAAAGTTTAAAATGATGGGTTTAGGGAGTACTCTTCACTAAAGGAATTGATGTTGTAGTAAACTAGCAGAGGTTGAAGTTTGCATTTGTCAGTGCTAGAGCATTGTGTGTGACAATAAATCCATGTTTGAGAAGGGAAATGTGCAACAGTCTTACTGTGTGGATAGATGGGAATCCTAGCAGTGCTTTACACAATAATTAGTAGAGTAGAGTATGAGGCTGTAGAGAGATTATTTTCTTTTTGGGGTCTAAACAAGATGATGTGAAGGTTATAAACCTCAGTGCTGGGCAGAATAGTGGTATGGCCTATAGTGCTTAAGAGGGCAATTAGAAGATATTAAAGCTTTCTTCCTGATTTCATTAGACCAGGTCTACAGCAGATAATAGTGGCTCAGATCTTGACTTGTAGAGAGGCAGGTTCCAGCCATCAGTAGTGCCATGCCAGAATTGTCCTTCAGCTCTTGGATGATCACAGTGGGTACAACCCAGGGTTGTGCTGCTGTGGCTGCACCATTTGCCTGCGATCAGCCAGGCTGGAGGCTTGGTCTGCACCTGAAGATGCTGGTGTATGCACAGACACAGAGAACAGGTTGGACAACATCTTTATCCAAGGGTGGAGTAAGTTTGCTAAGGGGGGATGCAGAGGTCTAAACAGTACCTCAAAGTGTAAGCTTTTAACCTCGTTTGCATTTTACTCTGAGAACTTTCTCTTGCATGAGAAACATCTGGTATGTTACATCAAATGTTCAGCATGTTCAGATTTTTCTTCCCCAAAATATCTCAGATCCACACAAATACCTTTGATCATTAGAAAGGATTAGTTCTTCTGCTCTTGCACATATGTGAATTTGCAAGTGTTTTTTTGGATTACTCTTAAATTTCTATTTCCATTTCAACTGTTGTATGGCTGGCATGAAAAATACAACCCTGGTGAGAAAGGTTGATTAAGAAGTTTGTTGCAGTGGGTTTTTTTTTGGCCGTGGCAAAGGCTAGCAAATAAACTGACTCTCGAGTGGAAGTATGTATTTGCCTAGCAGGTTTTTCAGTGGCAATAAAATGTTTTCAATGTATTTTATTTTAACAACAGAAAAGAAAAATGTGAATTCAAACCCCAGAGGCCAGGAAGGAAGATTCCTAAATACACGCCACCTCCTCTTCCAACTAATAAGAAATGGTTTGGGACGCCGATGGAAGAGATGAGAAGAATGCCTATGTGTGGGGCCCGTCTTCCTCATCTGCGACCCTCAGCCAACCACACAGTAACCATCAGAGTACGACAATTTAGTGTGTTACCTGAAATCAGGTGTCTTACTGAATGGTTCAATAACATGAAATGCCAAACGTTAGTCTTATAGTATTAGCCAGTTGTGGAAATCTTTCTTTGCCATTCCTTGCAAGCAGACTGGGGCAACTGATTTTCCTGAAAATTGACTTTTCTGATGTACAGAATTAGGATATTAAGATCCAGAAGAAGTGTAATTATGGTTTTACTGCCTCTGGCTTGTTAGGGACAAGTATTTTTCTTTTGCATAGGAGTGTGTGTACTTCCTTGTCAAAGTTGTAAATGGTGGGAATTTAAATAACGTCTGCAAGTAAAACTTGTACTTCAACACTTTCATGTTATGGTTTCATTTTAATGTGATTCTGATTTGGGTTCAAGATATTCAGAAGGCTTAAGGTAGTCAAGATATGAAAAAGAGAGAGAATGGAGAGGAGCTGCTATCAATTCTACCACTGCATTTTAGATCAAATCTGATATATTTGCCTTTAATCATTTGGAGTAATACGCAGTCAAATTATTATTGAAATGAAATATGAAACCTGTAGGGTCATGGATAAGCAGCAAACAGAAGTACTTTAAAAGTTTAAATGCAAGTTCTGAGGAAATAAGTGCTGCCAGAAGGCCATATAGCAGATTTAAGTCTTCAAGAACATTGCATTATTTAATTTTACATTTCTGATATTCTGTGGAGTGAACTTAAAATACTGCTATATCTCTATTTATTTCTCATTCTTTTCAGTATTAGGTTAAAAGATGTTATTTCTGCACATGTCTGTGGTTAGATTTGAAACTACATTTTGAAAATATTTGGGTGAAACTATAAAACTAATTCATAAATGAGAGTATCTGATAATTGGGCATAAAATAATGGCATGTGTTTATTTCAGTGTGTTTCAAGAGGTCAAATGGTAAGGTGGTGTTCTTTTCACCAGGTGTAACATGAGAGTAACAGGTGGATTTTTTTAACTAAATATCCATCATGTGGTTGGTTTGTACCCTTCCTCTTTCCAAAAAGAGTGGCTGTCGAAGAGCTTTTTTAACTATGTTTTTGCATACTTTTTATTTCTTCCATTTAAAAACTTGGAAGTAGAGTCTGAGCTTTTTTTCCCCCTTTCTTGTGTTGCAGGTAGATCTTCTGAGGGAAGGAGAGGTGCCTAAACCTTTTCCAACTCACTACAAAGATTTGTGGGACAACAAACACGTTAAAATGCCCTGCTCAGAGCAAAATTTATATCCTGTAGAGGATGAGGTAAGATAAAGTATTTACAATTGTGTTATCAAATACATTTGCTTACATGAAGATGAGTGTTCAGTTGACTGCATTTGTTCAGTTAGCAAACTGTGTGTATGGAACTGGAAAATCGAAAAGATGCACATACCTGGTCCAAAAAGCAGGATTCTGGGTCATGATGCCTCAGGCAGAGCAGAAGTTGTTTTGCTTTTTTTCTGGGAATTATTTTCCCTAGCCATTGATTTTATGATGTTTATATATTTCTGTACTTACATGAAGTATAAGTACAGAAGTACAAAGTATAAAAACTTATACTCCATATAAGTTACATATTTACATACTTATTTATGTTTGGGTTTTTTTTGTGAAGCAGTTTGTGATGTCAACAGATGTGAAAGGAATTTGTAACCACATTCTGATTATAATATTCTGTCAGGTATTGCTGATAGGTAGCAGGACAGTGGACAGATACACCTCTAAAACAGTGGTAGAGTTTACTCAACAGGAGTAGAGTTGGCCCTGCATGGTTTGTTGGGCACAAGATATACCAGTCGCTGCTCGAGACTTACTTAAACATACCCTCAGAAATACTTTAGTCTGTGGTGAATAAAATAAGCAAGGATGTCCTCTAGTGAAGACGATATAATGATTATTGATACTTGAGTCTGGAACAGAGGATTTTTATAGCCTCTAGGAAATACTCCCAGTCTTTTCATTTATCAACTTTACAGATACAGTATAAAATTAATTTAATTGATGTTTCCGAGATGAAGTGTTAAGATCTTTGTTGCCAGCTGAGCAAGATGAGTTGTCTCTGCCTTTGTGGTAGTTTCCTAAGAAATACCATTATTGCTTGCAGTGGGCAATAAGACTTTCTGTTGAGGAAAAATCACAGGATGTCTTAAATTTGGGTTGGTGCAAGAATCAGCCACAGCAATATGCTTTTATAATCTGTGCCCTTATTGTTTTTAATATGACGTTTTTATAAAGTCAGTTCAGTCTGTATTTTTGAGTTGCTGATTTTATAAACTGTGGTTATGTTTTATCTGCAAAATCCACTTTCTTCATGAGTGCAGTGAACATTATTTGTCCTTGAGATGATAAGAGGAAGTGTGCTGCGTATGGGAGAGAGCCCTGTGAATTTTCTGAATGCTTCAATTAAAAAGGAACTCTGAAGGAAGTAAAATGCAGTGGACTGGAAGTTGCAGAAGTACTCTCCAGTTACTCAAAATATGTGGTTTATTTTTAAATAACTTCACAAATAAACTTTAGTTTAAAAAAAAAATGTGGCAAGGAAGACAGTTGTTAGTAAATATGTCTTTCTGTTTTGAGTAACTTAATCTGACTTTGGTTTGGGCTTTTGTTTTAAAGAATGGAGATAGAACTGCTGGAAGTCGATGGGAACTAATCCAGACTGCCTTACTTAACAAATTTACATGCTCGCATGATTTGAAGGTAAGCTTGTCAATTTCAAATCAAGTCTGTAGACATATAAGTACATTTAGGTTCTCTGTGTACTGTTAGTGATTCTGGCTCAGTTCTATTGGTTTAATCACTTACAAAAAGAAATTAAAAAAATGTTCAAGGGATTCCCTAATGAATGAAAACTTTTAATTAAAAGTGAGTCTTAAGTGTTACCATTAAACTTACTAGGTATTATCAAAAAGATTTGTCTTTTACAAGTCTACAGAAAGCTCTTCTTTGTCCAGCAGTATCTACTGTGCTAAATGTAGCACGTAGCCTTTTTCCCTAACCAAAAGGTAGGGCACTGCACAGGTGAGGGAGTTTGGAACTTCCCTTGATAATACTATATGATTTGGTATTTTTTCTTGAGATTTGTTTAAAGGTGGTGGTTGTTGTAAAGGGCCTGTTTAATTTTATTGTGGTTCTGAATCTTTGTAAGTGGGTAAAACCTCTATGTTGCTGAGGGACACTTCTTTAGTATTTTTAAAGAGATCAAGCATGAGATGGGGAATGTTTACACTGTGTTGTAGGCAGATCCAAGCATGCCTTGTCTTGTTTTCCGCTAGGAGGAAAAACCTGTGGACTAAAGCTTATTCAATGCTAAACCTAAAATACAGGAATCAGTAAAATGGAGTCACAACGTGTTAATACAGTTTTATGGATTTTGTTAGGCTCTGTGACAGGTGTTAGCCACGAGATGGTGCTGTTCCTTCAAAAAGGAAATGTCATCAAACCATTTTTCTTCTGTTAATAAGTATCTCTAAGGTTTATTTTGTTGTGGTCTTTCCCTAGGAGGCTATACTGAGATACAACGTTGCTTATTCCAAGAAATGGGACTTCAGTGCTCTTACTGACTTCTGTGAGAAGGTAAACCTTTAAAATAGAAAGTAAAGCATAAGTGACTGCTTTGTCTATACAGCTCAATGCTTTTGGCTTAATTCCCTTTTCAAGAGTAAAGGTTTTGCAATCATCATCATGGTGTGGACAGTAACTTTGAAATGATAATTACGCTTTTACAAACTGGATTAATTTTAAACCTGAAGCAGGTAATTTGGGTGCTTCAGTAACAACTAAGGTTACTGAAGGTAAGGTGAGAAATGCTTTTTATGATAACCTGATTTATTAATAAATTGTATTAATATTTCCAGTGTAATGGTTTCTTGTTTTAAAAAGTGTTGCTCTCTTATTTTGTTTTTTAAACAGCTCTAGTGCTATATTGCAGTAGTGTTTGACTAGATTGTGCTTTGTTGGTCTAGCAGTAAAATTTTGCTCTGTGCTGAGATGATGGAAACTGTAGAGACTTTGAAAGACTGGGGTGTCTTTTATGACTTCATGTTGCCTTCCTGGAAGAGGATGGAAAAGAAAAATGAATAGTAGGTGGCAAATGCAAGTTCAGCTATTATTAATGTAGCTCCTGACTGATGTTCAGAAGCTATGTGATTTAGAGTACTCTGGAAGATTAAATAGAAGTTGTTGTATTTTTCTTCCACCACCTCAGAAGTGCTTTTAAAACACATGCTTGTTTTCTTGGGAGGGGCTAACTAAGTTGCATTAAGGTTCAGTGGAAACTAAATGTGATTCCAAGTTAACTTTGTTAGTTATGTATGTTTAAAATAGATGTCTGCTTAATTCATGTGATCAGAAGAACTGTTCTTTTTATGGTCTCCATTGTGTATGGGAACTACTGTTTGACAGAATGACTTTTGTTTTGCATGCAACACACTATTGTTATTACTGACAGAAGGTACCTGTAAAAGCACCAGTGGTATTTGCTAGCCATGAAAGCTGCTGAGTTCGCCCCTCTTGTCCATTTAGTGCTCCCTCTCCATCTGTGGGGTGTCTCTGGTTTTCAGGCTGTCATGCCTGGATGGTAGAGGCTGGACACTTGGCTTCTTTGCTCCTGTTGACTCTTGTACTGACCAAAATTAACTTGGCCTGTTCAACTGCTTGGTTTTGTGTTATTAAAAATACATATTTAAATTACTAGAATGCTTTGAAGTACTGACAAACTATTTAAATATCTGACCCAGGAATGTACCAGATTTGCATCATGTTGCTACAGATGCAACTGAGTTTGTCCTGACACGTTCACATCGTGCACCTGGGAGTTCAGAAACTATGGATGATTAGATTCAGAGATCATCAACCAGGGAGAGTAAGTAATACCAGCTGTCTTCAGAGAAGAGAGGAACAATAGGGAAATGAACTATGTATCAGGCATCAGTCTTTCACTGAGAGTGAAAAGGCAATTTCTGTCACCTGGGAATGATGATTTCTTTGTGAGGTTCCCAAATGAAGAGAGGAGAGCTGTTCCAAAACATGGCTTTTAGACCAAGTTGAAGAGTGTGCAGCAGTATATTAAATAAGGAACAGTGAAGCACTGTAAGACAGTGGCTCCTTGTAGACTACAGGAGCAAACCTTACCCTGGCTTTGTTTATTGAACATATTGAATTTAGTGAACAGAACATGTGGAGGGGATACCTTGTGTAGAGAAATAATTCAATCTTTTCTGTTCTTAAGGGATGTGTGTGAACTTCTCAAGTTGTGTAAATTAACAAGGCATCTGCTTTCAAAGACTATTTGCAGTCTGCTTGAGTGACCAGTTGAGATCCTCTGTTGAAATTACCTGAATGCACTAGCTGTAGTGAGGTGTAGCTTTTGAAGTTACTGTATCTGGGAGTTAATGATTAAGGGCTTACCATTGCCTTGTGTATTCAGTGGTTTATCTCATGGTTTTGAAGGAACAGGGGAACTGTTTCAGGTGACATTTGGTCAGCAGAAGTTGAGAGGGTTGGTTGAAAAGAAAGCTGGCTTGAGTAATCAGCCCAGCGGGAGGGGCAGCAGCTCCGCAGAGGGGGAAATAGGCACCAATATATATTAAAAATAAGAGATTAAAACAGAGTCTTATGATCCTCAAACATCTAGTTATATTCTTGGGCACTGTTGACTTCCAATACATTCTTGATCAGGAATTCTGTGGTCTGATTTACGAGGGAGCTGGGTCTGCAAATCTAGCGGTGTCTATTCTTGCGATTTAAGGCCGCTGTATCCAGATACTATTTCAATAGGTCGGTTACTTGGTAAATTACAAAGTACCGTTTGTTATTTTATCTTCTGATTCTGGGCACAGCTCACCTTTATCAATATTTTTAAGTCCTACTTGTAATGTTCAAATCAGTTTCCTTGTTAGAACAATAATTACCAGTTTCTTGAACTTAAGTTTAATTTTCTTTAAGATTAAAACATTTTGGACTTTTTCTTAACTAATGGGAAATAACTACCATGTATATGAACCAGGATTTTTTTCCAAAACAACATACCCTAACATGGATGGGTTGACCAGTTTTACAGTTTGTTCAAGGCGTGGTCAGAAGAGGGAGCCCTCGCACTATTTTCGACAGATTCTTCTGACTGTCAGTTCATGAAGTAAAATTCAGATTTGTATACTGAAGTACATTTGGGAGCTTGTCTTTTTTTTTTTGTTTTTTTTTTTTTTAAAAGGTTCATAGAACCCATCAGTAATATACATAAAGCTCTTGGTAGCTTATTTGCTTCAGACATCTGACAGTTTTGTTGTCCTCTCTGGAATTTCCACTCTGTTGTATTGATTTGTTTTGCCTTCTGTTTGTTAATATTGGCAAATAGGCTTAGGATTTATTCAACTTATTACTTAGTGGATGAAAATTATTAGTGCTAACATTTTTCTTCTTACTCACAAAATTCTTGACGCTTGGAAGTCCTCCTTGCATCAGTTTTCCTACAACTTACCTAGAAACCAGACTGTAAAGAGTAAACAACAAGCAGCAAAGAAAACATATGGAAACCACTGTGGATGGAGCTGTCTTGGGACCCACAGTGTGTTGTAGATGGGTTTTGTGTGAATGATGATAGGCTGGGAATTTATGATGTGCTTTTGGTGAACAGTGCTACATACTGTAGTAGGTTTTATTTTTCTTTCTTGCCAATTAGCCCTTCTGCTTCCAGGCAAGACCAAATACTTTTACTCTTTCCCAAGGCATGAAATAAAAAGTGTAGTGAGATCATTCAAGGCTTAAGTCTTAAAATAATCTCCAACAGCAGCAATTTTAAATAAAGGGAAAAGTAGAGCTTTATCATTTTAGACAGTCACACGGTCTGCTGCTTTAGACTGGACCTGTTTGTTCTGGACGTGCCTTGTTTTTATTGTATTGCTTTAAAGTCTCTCAGAGCTTAAGCATAATTCTTGTTAATGTTGTTTCATGAGCTCTTGGTCTTATTGCTTGCATCTGTCCTGCTGTTTCAGAGTGTTTAAATCTGAAAATGACATGACATTGTATAAGCAGTGCATAACTTTCTTTAAGGGTGATCCTTCTTTGAAACTCCATTTCAGTTGCATAGTATACAAGAACTGAAGTCAGCAGGATTTATGTTGTGAAGTTTCAGGAATCTTCATGATATAGAACTTCTGTCGTCATCAATATCTGAGCTCTGGTGAGGTGAACCAGTGGGTGAGCAGCCTCACAACTTGTTCTTGTCCTTTCAGCAGAGCCGTATCAGACTGACTGACTTGATCCCATCTAAAATCATGAGATTTAGTAGCAATATTTATGTTAATAATAAATCTACTGAAAAAATATGTAAGACGGTGACAAAAAGGAACTCTGCAGGCAGTGAAACAATGCATGCTTTTATTGCTCAGTGGTTTAATTTCAGTCTTCTGACCTTTGAAACCTGGAGAAGGGCTATAGCATTTGCATGATTTTAGTGTCAGAAAACAAGGGTAATGCTCACGTGCTTTTCAGTTCATACTTGCAAGTTATCAAAGTTACTGGCTTTCCTGATATGCTTCAGTGAAAGAAAAGGATCTTATATAGTCATCTGATTTTTTTAGCTACTCTTTTTGCTTTTTTGTATATGCAAAGCAGAAGGAGATTCATGTTATGCATGCAGGACTGTTAGCATTTAGGATTTCCCAAATACTTCTCTTCAAAACGTTACTCTGAAATAATGCCTGTGTGTTCTTCAGTGCTGACGAGGATTAAATCCAATTCTTGGGCATGTCATTAAAAGACAAACTGTAATCTCTGGTGACTACTCATGTAATTGGAAATTGCAAATATTTTAGACGCAAGTTTGATCTCTTAAGAAGCATAGACTGAAGATTGGAGCTTAGGAAAATTTGTGTGGCATAGACTGATTGTCTCTGAGCTTCTGTGAGTCAACTGAAAAATGGATCACAATACATCTTGCAGATGTTCACATTGTACCCATAACTATTTTTATGTTTGTCTGGCCCCTTTGAGCTTGATGATCTTGTTGGAAAGTTTGTGTCTGTGAAGCAGAGAAGATACAATGAGAGGAGTCAGGAATGATGTAGAGGTATGTAATGGTTTCCCTCTGAGGAACATGGAAAGCTAGCACAGTTTAATCTCTTAATTTTAGTTGAGAGAAGTGAGGAATGGGTGTAGCAGTGGTGTCCAAAATTAATGTAAGAGAGGGTGAAGAGGAAATGACTGTTCGTTCTTCTAGTACAACAGGTTTTCCAGTCTCTGCAGAACTTTAAACCCTTGGTGCCTACTTGATGCAAGTAAGAAGACTTCAAGGGGATATGCTATCGGTATCTTTGTAAAGACACTCTCTAATTCCTCAGTACTCAGTTTCCAACTGTTAGATTTGGCTTTTAGTGAGGAAAAAGTGTGTGTGTGTTTGAAGTGCCTCTATATGGATGTCTTTTGGGACGGCTGTTTGAAGCCAATCAATCTATGTAATGACCAAGATCTGCATATTGATTGCCATACACATTCAGCATTCAGGAATCCTTTTCTGTTATGAAAGCAGCTGTATAACTCTTAACATTTGGATTTTTCTATGAGGTTGAAAGAAACAT